TGGGCTTTGTTGCTTCTGGGCTAGCTGGCCGCTTGTTTACTTTCAAGCCTTTAAGTCCCCAGACGCTATAGGTCTCGATAGCCGGGCACCATCAGCCTTCTTCACCACACTTACTTATGCACACATTTGTCTTCAGCATTTATGTGGGGAAGGTGATCACACAATGATGGTTTTTGTTCTTTTGTGTCTGCTACATGATCCTCAAGGGACCTTTTCAAGGAGTAAGAGTGACCCAATGCTTAACCAACTACACCACCAAGGCCCCTTTGGATATAGATATCGCTGTTTACAAATGTTTAATTTGTTGATGATTTAGGGAGTGTTGAAGCAGGCACATGTATGAAGATTAACAGCTGAAGATGAGTCTAAAATAGAGCATCTTTGAGAGTAAGCATTATGACGTCAGTAATCCTTCAAACCTCCAGGAAGGTGGCCTTTGTATGAGGACAAAGGCTAACTTGTGGGAGTTGTCATAGAATAATGGTGCCCAAAAGATGGCTGTTTGTTTTCAATTCAAATATTGACACACATTTGAAATTCACAGGTCTGAAGTGTTGGCTTGATGAGTTTTTAACCATTTTATATATCCTAAACAGATAGCAAACATCCCAACAGCCCCTTCTATCCCCTTTCCAGTCAGTCCCTTGCTTCTCCCAGAGCCAGTTTTTAGTAAAACCATGTTCTGTGGTTTTGGACAGGAAGAAGAGGTCTGGTGCTAGGTCTCTCATCTCAGGTCACAGTTAGCAAGTCTGAGAACCTCACGGATGCTCAGGTTGCCCGATTGATGCGCATGTTGGAACCCAAATGAAACTTCCCTGGTGCTCATTCCAGTCTTATTGAGAGCCTTACTAGCCTTTGTTGTCTGCCTGTAGCTTGATGGCTTTCAAGTTCCTGGATTTTCTTCCAGGTTTTGAGTATCGAAAATGGTGCTAATACACACAATTGGAAAAGTTTTTATTACCCGAGCCAGTGCCACTCACGTCCAGAAAGAATTTAACTCACTTTTGTCCCTTACACAAATTGGCTTTTTTGGGTGTATCTTTGAGTGGTTCAGTCTCTTCTCTGACTTTGGGGTTCTTGGCTGCAGGAAAGAACTTTGCCCCATTGTGTATTTCTAGTAAGCCAGTGGAAATGGCTTTTTGCAAATTGTGTTGAATTTAAACTTATGCCCAAACGCTGCACCACATGTTCCTCCGTTATCTAGCATGCTTCTGAAATCTTTCAACAGAGGGTGCATGAGCATCAAAGAATACATTGCATTAGAATACCAGTTGTTGACGTGCCACTCTGACTCATGAGCAACAGAGTGTAGCTGTGCTCCAGAAGGTTTTCCATGGGCTGGTTTTTCAAAAGTAGACCTTCAGGCCTTTCTTCCAAGGCGCCTCCGAGTGGACTCAACCCGCCAAGTGCTGAATTTGCAGCAGAGCATGTAAACCGTTTGCACCACCCAGGTACAGTCCACTATGTAAATGCCTGTGTAAATACCAACCATACTGCGTTATATGCCAATGTAAATACATTAGCAAAATGTATTGTGGTCAAGTCAATCAGTGGCTCTTTTTCACTTTGTGAGCCCTCTCATTGAGTTGATCCATCTGTCCCTACTTGTTATTAGGTAGACAGACTGCCTTTTTCAGTTACATGTTTAGCAACAGGCACCTTTACTCATTTTTTTCCAAAACCTAAGGTGATCAAGTCCAGGTATTTTGGCTCAGATTCAATGTCAATAATTCTACTTTTCCTTGTGCCTTATCCTGGCAAGAGTTTTTGTGGATCTCTATCCATTTTTCTTAACCTTAACTGTGGTGAAGGCGGTGCTAGTGATGGGCGAGGCTTATTGGCATACTGTGTGACTCATTGGAGAGTGGAGCTTGGGTGGGTGGAAGGCCCTTCGTTGCTGTGAGGAGGAGTGGTTGTAGTTTGCCCATGTTGGGATGTGACAGCACTGTAAGGCTTCTCCGCATTCACTGTGTCTCTAATAAGCACTCATATATAGCTAGGATTGTTATTTGTAACTTACAGTTAGAGGACTTTCCATAATGTGTGAATAAAAGACATGGGAACAGGTGGAAAAACAGACTGTTCCCTGTGATCTGGGTGTGTTTGGATAAATAAGTTCTCTTTTGTGGTGTGAGTCAAGTTAGAGGAATCCCCCCACCCCCAGCTTTGCCTTTAATGGAATAACTGGGTCAGATGGTATGGGCTGGGCTCTGATCTTAAAAGGTTTCCTTAAAAGGTTGGTTTAGTTAAATCTGTAATGAAAAGTAGGTTGGAGAAGAAATTGTATCAAAAATGACTTTATATTCCTAACAGCACAATTTTTGATTGTCCTTCCAAAGAACAGCCAGATTTTTTCCCCAGTAAGATGGTTTGTGTCCTTTTGAGAAGTTTAAACCTGTACCCTCACTGGATTAATTTTTCTGCTTGACTCTAAGTCTTACATTTGGAGAACTTCCAGGACAGAATCTTTCACTTAGCTGTACCACCCCTTCTCTTTTGAGTTAGGAATTGTCCACTGGTTTGGATTAGGTTTTTCCCATGGTGATGTTTGAAAGCTTGTTACTGAGGGCAGTGGTGTTTTATTTCAACAGGGAGATCTTGTGTTGAGTCTTGGGCTTTCCCCCTGTTTATTCTAAATAAAGACTCTACTTATTCTACTTTACTGCTTATTCTAAAATAAGACTTTTCTACTCTGACTTCACTTAAATTGAAATTGACAATCAATTCAAGCACATCAACAATTATCTTGATATGTTATTTTTCACCACTGGAAAGAAGCAGACAAGTCAGGGGTTCAACAAGAAGTCTTTGCTCCTGAGTCCATCCGAATGACGCTCCTCTCCCTGGCAAGAAGAATAAGCATGAAAACCATAATGTGTGTCTGTTTATTCCCATTCTTTCCAGCTATACTGCTGTCTGTGGTCACCTGGACTATCCCTGCCGCTTCCAGAATGCTTCCGCTACCACTCAGAACGTCATTCCTCATCGGGTCTTCGCCCCAGTGTGTCTCAGAGACGTCTGTCAAGAGACCCTTCTGCGACTGGCTCCCCATTGCCTCTCTGCAGCGCATTCTATTCTGGGAACTCACCCGTTCTCCAGGCTGGACGTACTCATCATCCCTGCCAACTTCCCGAGTCTGGGCATGGCCAGGTATGCTTTTCTAGTGTGGGTTTGGAGGCCAGGTGTTGGTCATCACTTGAGTATTGCTTGCTTTCCCTGAGCACTCTGTGAGTCATCAGATGACATGGGTGGAAGGGCCACTGTCGTTCATATCTCGTTGTTGCCTTGAGGATCTGTTTTCACACAGGCTGCACCGCCCAGGCATCTTTGGGTATCATGAGCTCCATTCAGACTTCCCTGAACATCGAGAGTCCACAGTGTGTCAAGGCCTTGAGAGCAAGCACATCATGCCTTCACTGCAATGCCTTGTGGGTCTCCCTGCTCCATGACTGGTTAGCTTATGTGGTTAGAGTGCAGTGCTAATGAGCCCAAGGTCGTAACTCTAGTCTGTGGGCTCAGTGACACACTTTGGTCCCAGGGCTATAGGCTGTTAACCTAATCTTGACCACCTGTCCCATCCATTCTTGCTTTTGCTCACAAGGGCAACTATTTGAAAGTCTGTATGTCAGAGACTGCATGGATCCATGGAAATTCATCACAACAGTTAGGAAAAAACAGCTCACAACAGATGTCTTACTCAAGGGTAGGAGGTGAGGTTTTTGGGGGTTTTCTTTTTTGTCTTAATAGTGTTTTTTAATAGGTATTCTTATTGTTGCCTCAGTTTACTTCCTTCTCCACTTTAGTGCCACTATAATTCTGCAGGTTGAAACTTTGTACTATGTGTGGGGGCTTTACAACATTGGTGGGAAAATTCCATTCACTTCTAATTCTATTTTTCCACACACTTTGTGAGCTTCCCTCGTATATGATTTCCCCTGCAAGCTGTCCATTCATGTCACTCTTCAACTCAGTAACAGTAGTTGGCGTTTTACTGAGGAGGGATAGGGAATACACTCAGGCTTTTACTTGCTTCTACCTCTGTTTGAAAAAGCTTAATCATGAACAGCAACTCTACTTGATGAAGAATGGGAAAAATAAGCTCATCCACACATGTGACTTTAAGTTTTCCCCTGTTAGTCAAGGAAATCCCTGCTGCCAATTAATTTCCATGCTTTTGAGCCGCTGTAGTTTGTGGTGTTTTCCCTGAAAACTGCACACATTCTGAGTAAAACCCCCACGTAGAAAATAACTGAACCGAACATTTGCTTTTGATCTTTACTACATGCGTGCATTTTTAAAAGGCTGGCAGGCTAGCCTTAATCCTAGAGGAGGTCTGAGAAAGTCAGTTAGATAGATTTTTTTATCCTATATTTATGAAGATAATGGGGCTATAGAAACCAGGATAATTATATATGTTTGGTTACGTGCATCATATAATTGTCTTGGAAGTCTATGTATAGAATTTGTCTTAACAAGGAGCCTTCTTTATTCCCTTTGAAGAGTCTACTAGACTTAATTTAAATAGAATTATTCTTTCTCATTGGTATACCATGTTGAGGGGCCATATTTGGGGGGTGGTAGTGGTGGCGGCGACTAGCACTTTATAGAGTTGCCATTTTTTTCATGGCCTTTTTATTAACGGCTCCATTCTGGCCTGGGGGGACCCAGGCAGAGTCCTTGTTGTACAGGGCCTCGTATTCTATAGCTCCTCCTGACATCAGGCTGCCAAAACCAGAATCGGTTGACCTGCAGGCCATCCTATAAAGGTTTGCTTTTTCAAGTTTGCATGCCCAAGCAGGTAGGCTGTATGTTTGCTGCTTTTCAAGATATTTAAAATGATTTAAACACACTTAACTCTATTTTTTTTAAGTGAGGCTAAGTGCCCTCCAGCCAAATGGATCTGGGCACAAATGTGATGCAATAATAACTGAGCAGCAACAAGAGTGCTTTTATGCTGGAAAACAGGCAGCCCGTACATTTTAAATTTTGTGGTTGTTTGTCAAATAGCTTATTTTTTTCCTTCATCTTCAAGGTTTTTTTGTTTGTTTCTGCTCCCCGCCACCCACTCCCCACCCCCCCAAACCCTCCCATTTTAGACTTGGGAACAAAGTCTGCCTGGGGGTCGTTACTCTGCCATGTCTGAGCCGTGATCTCCTCCACTGCCAGCTATGGGGTGGGGGTGGGCACTCCATTTTTCCCAACTGGGACTGAAATTGATTCCATTCGCTTGGCCTGACGGTCGGGATCCCGACACCTTGTGCCACATGCATCTGAGTGGAGGTTATGAGTCAGCTGGCTACTGAGGCCCTGCTGATTTGTTTACAGCAAAGCCTTTGCTTAGGGTTCAGTAAAGCAGGAACAAAACTCATCGTCTGCCGGGCCAACTCTGAACCAGAAACGGGAACAGAGAAAACCCAGTATTAAGAGGAGCCATCCTTAATGAGCGCCTCACGGAAATCCGTTGAAACTGGTCGCTGTCCTGCTAGTTCTAATGCACCGAGACTTCAAAGGAGTTCTTGATGAATTAACTGACTCTTCCCTGGGTCCAGGCTTTATAAACAAACATGCATGATCGTAAATGCCATACCTCTCTACTTCTTGAGTGACTTGGTCTTAATCATAATGAATGGCATCTCACTGTTTTGGTTTTTGGTTTTGCTAAATGGAATTAAGCATTGCCACATGAACTAAAATAAGTAAACTAAGCATATTAATAAGTAAGTGGTTTTTAAGATTTTAAAAATTGGGGAGGATGCTGCCTCTCATGATTTCACTGTATTTTAAATATGACATGTTATAGTTTGTGTGTGGAACTTTTCAGTTCTCCTCTGGTTCAGTGTTTATGCCCATTTGGGATATTCCAGTGAAATACACATTTTTGCAAGTTGGATGTACATTCATGCCAAATCAGTTTGAAAGAAGGAAAATAATATGCAGCATTTTCTCATTGAGATTGTATTTCAAATATGGTGGTAATGGGAACAATTATCAATACCATACTGTATGATTTTTGTTACTTTTGAATGTAACAAAATGCCCTCCCTGCTCCTACATATACCCCAAACCTTTTCTGAAGCCTTCCCCTGGAGAGGGATGCTTTCATCTGATTCCAAGGACCACCGCTAGTGCGCCTTTCAGGTATTCTATTGGCAGGTTCAGTCCTATATTTCTCTCAGTTAATCCAAACCCAAGCTCACTGCTATGTCCACTCATCGCAACAGTGCCTCTCTGAGACAGGGTAGAACCGCCCAGTTGAGTTTCTGACACTGTGACAGTTTGGTTTGGTTTTTTAATCATTTTATTATTGTGGCTGTTTATGCGAGTACAAAGCCTCATCTTTCTCCTGTGAAGTGGTTGGCGGCTTCAAACGGCTGACATTTCGTATCGCAGCACTATGCATAACCACTGTGCCATCAGGACTCCTTTAATAAAGGTGGGCTTTCTGGATTTGTTTCATTTTAATTTTGCTTCCTAAAAATGCTAAAATCATTATATCTGGAACTGTTGTATCTACATGTGTTGGATTGAATAATAGGATGTCTGTACGAAGATTTGAATACATTTAAAGTGAACCTCCAATGTTGAGTACAATATCTTCATGTTGGTATAATTAAGACCCTGCCATTTTCATTGTACCATCCTATTTTCTCAGAACCTGGACTGCAGAACCTACCTGGACTAGTGAGCCTAATTTCCAGGTCTTGAGAAATGCAAGAAAGGGGTTCGTCATCTTGCTTACTCTCTTTCTTATAACAGTAATGATGTTAATGGAATAATATCGTGGGGCCAGATTTATGACAGCTCCTTAAAAATGAACACTTCAGCTTAACCCGGTCTGTATGTTCACATAGCTGTGTTGCTTCACCATTCGTCTTTCAGCATGTCACAGCTACATAGAGCAGAGCAGAAATACGTTCACAGAGCTACCTTGCTGACTTCCAGATACGTTCTTTTTTGCTTTTCTTTCCTATCTCAAGGCTCCTCTGCAAATTATGGCAAAGTGGTTTTGTGTTTAGAGCACAGAATTTAAAAAGCTACATCCCCAGCTCTACCATGCACACTTGGGATCGCCACCGGTCTGAAACAAAAAGAGCAGTGATTGTTGATGGATAGGTGACAAATTTAGTTTTGACTTTTTTTTTAAACTGATCTATAACTGAACGTTTTTTTTCCTCCTTTCTTTTGTTCATTGTTTTGTTTATCCACTTATTCGTCCTTTCAATACATTTTTATTAAACACATACTATATGCCAGGTAGTATTCAAGACACTGAGTTTACACAGATGAGCAACATAAAGGAGGCCTCTCACATGGAACTTGACCTTCTAGCCAGGAGCCAGGGGAGATGTGTAGTATACACAAAAGCAAATAATTGTGGTGTGTGCTGTGAAAGAATAAAACCAAGTTATAGAGTGATTGGAGGGACTGAGAGCATAGTTATGGCTTATTTAAAGAACTGACATTTGCAAACAGAATAAAAGAATTGGAAAGAGTCAGCCTTGTGAAAGATTCGTGGAAACACAATCCAGGCTGGGTAAGCCCAGTCCAAAGGCTCCAGGATGGAAATCGCTGAGCGTGTTAAAGCAGAAGAAAGAAGACCTGCACATGGTGGAGGACAGGATGCTTTCAGGACCATTGCCATGAGTCTTACCCTAAAGCTCACTGTGCCAGGAGAGCCCCTTGTCTTTTAGGGGTTGGACCCTGGGAGCCAGCTCCACAACCATGTAAAGACGTGGTGAGGAGTGCCACTAAGAAACGACCGAGAGTGAATGGGGATCCATCATTCCCGATGCTGGGAAGTGAGGGAGAGAGTCACAAGAGAAGTCACATCTCTTGAGGATCAAAGATACCATTCTGTCCCAAGACCAACAGAGCAACTGTTGTCTGTGAGCAGAATCCTCCATTGCTGGAGGTCTCTGAGTATTTGGCGCCTAGATTGGCACTGATAGAGATGGGTGAAGTCTATCACCACATGTCCTTCCCCGGTGGGTACCGATTGATTCCTTGCAAGCTTTTATGACCAATAGGTCGCAGGGAGGGAGACTATGTTTATATGTTTGCACATGTTAGTTTTAAGTTTATATTTTTAACTGAACAAAAATGAGATTGAGAAATAGCACTAGTAGAGAAACAATGATCAATTGCTTAGA